ATTCATAACCAAGATATCATTACTGACAAAGGAGGAAGCAACTTAAGCAAATAATTCCATTTTAATGTAAAAAATAACTCTTTAAATAATCATAAAAACTAAAAGATTCTCTGTCACCACCAGTGGATTTTACGATTCTTTGGGACTCAGCTGTATCTGCCTCTTGTTTTCTTGATTAACAGTAATTAATAGATTATTTGGTCCCAGATGTCTCTTCAGATTCCATCAATCAAATGAAGTTAGTTTAATGTAAGCTGGGTAAAAGACAAAAGCCATTGGTGGTATTAAAACTCCTTCTCTAGGAGATATAAACATCTACCCTTCCTCCTAAAGACCGAATAACAAACAGAGGAATATTTCCACCCAAGTTCACTCTGGGACATCAGTGAATTTACTAACTCATGTACATAGAAATGGGTGAGAGGTTATGGGCAGGAGTGTGGGTGGGTGACCTTAAAGCAGCCTCACTGCACCCAACATGGACGATGACTTCCCATGGCCAACTAGAGGGAGTCCCCCCACCAAGTCCTTCCCAGACTATACAAGTCTAGTCCCTCCCTGAGGCAACTGGCATTTAGGGCAGAATTGCATATAACTGATTAGGAGTGGCTTATTCGATGGTGAGGGTCCCAGGTCCCTCCTTGCTCTTCCTTCTAATGAGGGATAGTCAAAAATAAACAAGCCCAGCCATAGTGATCTTTTGCAAGTAGGCATGGCTGAATTCAGGAAGATGGTGGCAGTTTGGCTCAGAGAATAGTTCTGGGCCACCATCAGTTTCCACCTGGAGTTCCACTAGGGCCGTCATTGTTGCTACGCAACCTGGGGTTTACAGAATTCAGGAACACAGTTCCCACCAAAAACATGGAGGAAAATATGTGTCAATTAATAAAGTCAGGTAACTAGCGAGACAAATGGAAAACACAACCGCACTGTGTTGGAAATCCACTCGAAACCCTTTCAAATCCCCAAGTTCCAAAAAGATTGGGTTTGCAAGCTCAGGGGTAACTCCACTATGGACTCGGGGTTAGTTGACAATAATTTTAAGTGACTGTCCCAGCAACTACAATGTTTACAGCATATAAACTGAGACTCGAATATCAGAGCCAGGTGTAGTGGCTTTTGTGTGGGATGCTAAGGCTGGAGGCTCATGAGTTCAAAGCCAGCCTGGACTACCACACAGCAAGTTAAAGACCAGCTTGGCCTCCATAGCAAGACTCGGTCAAAAGAAAAAAAAAAGAAAAGCACTGAGCTTCAGATCCCAGTTTCTCTGACTGCTGATAGACTAGACTTCCATGCCTTTTCATCTCTGGTAGTTCTCTCTGTTCACTGGTTCCATAATAGCTTATGCGTGCCTCTGACAGCCCCAGGTATAGTGTGTTAAACTCCACTGTACGTGTCCAATGTGCCCTCAAACCATAACCTCTTGCAGAGGAAAAGCTGCTTTCTTCATATTACCGTGTGTCTGGGATTTCCCACAATGGCTTATATCTTGATAGAATAGTCAACAGGGCAGTAAAAGTTGGTACTGGAGCCAGGAGGTGGCTCTGTTGATTAAGTACTTGCTGATGAAGTGTGAGGACTTTGGTTTAGTACTCAGCACCCATGTAGAAGCTGGGTGTGCTGGCACACATCTGTCTACATAACCCCAAATCTGGGAGAGCTAGAGACAGGAGGATGCCTGGAACTTAGAGGTCAGTCAGTCCAGCCAAAGGAATGACCTACCCATTCAGTAAAAGATGCTAACTTAAAAACCACAGTGGACTCTGTTTTTTGATCCAGTATGTTAGTCTGCATCTTTTTATTGGAGAATTGAGACAGTTAACATTGAGAGTTATACTTCTTCCCGCATCTTCTTGGGTGTAGTTAATCTTCTCTTCAGACTGAAGGTTTCCATCAGGTGCTTGCTGTAGAGCTGAATTGGTGGACAGAAATTGCTTACATTTGATTTTATCATGGAATGTTTTTCTTTCTCTTTCAATTGTGATTGATAGTTTTGCTGGGTGTAAAAGTCTGAGCTAGTGTCTGTGTGTGTGTGGTTTTTTTTGTGTTTTTTTTTTAAGAGACTGTGGAACATCTGTCCAGGTCCTACTGTCTGTCAGAGTCTCCATTGGAAAGTTGGGTACTATTCTAATGGGCCTCCCTTTATGTGTGACTTTGGTCTTTTTTCTTTTCTTTTCTTTCCTTTCTTCTTTTTTATTTTGCTGTTTTGTTTTGTTTTTTGAGACAGGGTTTCTCTGTGTAACTTTGGTGCCTGTCCTGGATCTCACTCTGTAGACCAGGCTGGCCCTGAACTCACAGAGATCCACCTGGCTCTGCCTCCTGAGTGCTGGGATTAAAGGCATGCGCCACCACCGCTCGGCTCTGTCTTTTTTCTTGCATCTTGAAATATCCTTTGCTCTGTCCATTTGGTGCTTTCATTATTATGTGCTGAGGGGAGTTTCTTTTCTAAGTCTATCTATTCAGTGTTCTGTATGACTCTTGCACCCTGACCGTCATCTCTTTCTTCAGATTTAGGAAGTTTTCTTCCATGATTTTGTCCATCTATGTGTTTTTGACCCCAACAACTGTACCAGGTAGGGGATCCATCTTGTGGAGTGGGCCTTAAATCTAACCAGAGAGTGATGGATTTGTCCATAACCTTTGTGCTGCTATTGCATTAGTGTAGGGAGCCGCCATTCTAAGATGGCGCCGACTTCCTGGTAGCCTAGCTGTAAACAACTCCATATTTGGCTATGCTCCTAGGACTACGTGTCCTAAGGTCTGCGCATGTGCAAGTATGGTAATTGACTCCATGTCCTCAGCCTATCCCATGGCTCCCCGTGCTCGCATTCTGGCGGGATCCAATCACAGACTGACCCGTTTGCTTGAATCCTC